GATTAGTTAATCTTATTGAAGATCAAGGTACTTATGTGATTTTCTAGCTGTGACCTTTAAAGTAGGATTGGAAAGAACAACTTCCACAACTTTTTTCTAAAGTGCCTACAAGCACTGCTCCCATCTGTCCTGCCACTCAGCTTCTGGAGAATAACTTAGCCTTGAAAGTTCAATGACACGATGGACAAATAGTCACTGGAATCCATATATATTCTATATACTTGTAATTGCATGAGACCGTGTTTCAGCTTCTTATCTGTACACTTTTTTTTTTCCTTCTATAAATGCAGCTTTATACTTACCTCTGAAGTTCTTTTTTTCTCAACATGGTTGGAGAAAAAGCTAAATTATTGTCTTAATGAGTACTAGTAGAAACTGCTTTGAGGTAAAGTGTGCTCTTCCCTCAAGCCTTCAGGAATGACTGTAAGGAAGGGCAAAAATCTGAACCTGTACTAGGGTGGGTGGGTGGGGAAGTAAACTAGTTCTGTAGTGGAATTGAACGCAGGATTCCTAGGCTGCTTGAGAGAGAGAGAGTCTCTTAAGAAGCTATTTGATTAGCAGCAAATCATTTCAGAATGGGAAGAAGTCTTCTCAAGCTCGCTTCTCTAAAAAGCAGTTGCACTCAGGCCCCTTAGAACCTGAGAGTTTATTCAGCTCTGTGAGTACTTCTAAGTCAACTTGAGCCTGTTGAACGTGGAGGGAAAAAAGAACAGAAAATTCCAAAGGCAAAAGGTCTAAAATGTAAGGGTAGGGGAACATTACAGAGGCCTTCGCTAGTGTGGAGCACATTCTCAGATAAAGACTTCTTTGGTACCTGATTCTGCTTTGGAGCTTTGAGGAAAAGATTTACAAAAGAAGAAAAAAAAGAGGTGGGAAAGACTGTACTGCTCAGTCCTAGATATTGGCAGTTTAGGGGAAGACCTACCATAACTATTTTCAAATGTAAGTGACATGTAAAGTGTTGAGACATCTCTCAACATTTTTGTCTGATAAGCCTTTAGTGTTTTCAGGAATAGCCTTCTTTCTTTTTTTCTCTCTTTTTTTTTCTCTCAGAAAAGAAATAGAAATTTTAAATTGCAAAAGAGACAAAATCATCTTTTTAGTATCTAAGAAATAAGCCTGAGTGATACTATTCTTGATAAGAGATCATTTTTCAGTTTCTAAAGAGACATGGAGGGAATATTTATCAGGAGAGCTTCTTAATCAAAAGATTTTTTTTTCTTTTTAATAAAGGTTGAGGTTGTAGAAGAAGCATTAATTAAAGTGTGTGTTAAAATATATCTTGATCTGATGAAGGTTTCTGCCTTACGTTGGATTGCTGGCTCAGCAAAGTGTGTTAAGTGCAGCATCTAGATCTGATTGGGTTTATCCTATTTCCTGTGTTCTTGAAGTACAAAAAAGTAGTTCTAACTCTATTAATCTTTAAAATATTATTTATCTTCCAGGAAAGAATGAATTCAAATATTGCATTTTAAATGGGAAAGATTTATAAAATGATTTGAACCAGTAATATATTCTAATGTGCAGGTACTTGCTTCAGCCATGTTTTTGCTTCTCTTAGTGACTGTTTCACTTGCCAACTGTATTTGTTATGTCAGAGCAATACCCACTATATGGATATCTACCCCAATACTTGTTCTCAGCTGTGGCCAACTGCAAATATTTTTGGAAAGAGTTCAAGTATGAAGCATTTATCAAAATGCATGTCATTTAGTGCACACAGAAAATTATCTTCATGAAATAAGCAATATTGGCTACAATATATGCCTTAAAATGTTTCACAGTTGGAACTTTAGCAAAGCATCTGCATTGTCATCTGGTTTCATAACTTCTGAATGCCAGTAGTATTGATTATGATGAAAAAGAAATTCCTAGCTACAACGTAAAATCCAAGTACTGCAGGAAGTGCAAGGGATAAAGTAGATTTTCTTGGAAGTAAATTAATACTCAAATGTTTGTGAGGCATACAAATGGTGGCAAGGGTCTTCATGAACTAAAGTCTTGAAAAATCCTATATAGCTATGCAGAGTAGGGAAGACTCTATACCTGACTACAGTCCCGATGAAAGACTTACTAGGCTTGGTGATTAATAAGGGATGATGGGATTAAATTACCAACATTTTATAATAAAAAGATAATAATAAAAAGAAAACCAAACCCTAGATTTTTTTTTATTTAAAATTGTATGAAACTGCTATGTTAAGTGGTTGCTAATTTTTACCTCACAGGCACAAAGATGGAAGAGTTTGTGTGTACTATCAGACTGGATCCTTTGGGATGGAATGTACCACTGGGTATTAGCATGAGGTTTTTGTTTTATTACAAAACTATATGATAATCACCATAGAAGGAAATTCTACATTGAAGACCACTATGAGCATTTCTTGACATTCATGCATTTACTTTCTTTCAGCTTTTGAAATCAAGAGCTCTGCCCTAACATCAGGAAAACAGCCAAGAAACAAAATAAAATGCAGTGTCTTAGATAATTTCACATACTGGTGAATGTTGTTCAGTGCTTATGCTCAGTATCTTTGGAGCTTCGCTTAGTCTTTTTTTTTTTTTTTTTCCTACTGTCATGATTTGTTCTATAGTTTGCTTATAAAGAACTATAGTTCTGTAGTTCGTTGTTAGTAATAAACAGCATTAGTTAATCTCATTATTGCTGATGGCCTTTCAATTTAGAGTGGTCAACCAAGAATGTGGTTGCTAGTTAGTCCTAAGCATTTGATCCTTTCCTCACTGGAGGAACTGAAGAGAATTGAAATAGAAAAGGCAAAAATAGTCCAGGTAGAAGTAGGCTAGGTGGCCTTCCATGTTTTAAGATGCTATAGATGAGGATTCCTGTTTGTTCAAGGGCATATTTTTTCTATTAGACTTTAGTCTTTTTAAAATATGCCTTTTAAAATTACTATTTAACAAACTGACTCTTTTTAGCACCCCCAAAAATATCAAAAAAAAAATCAATCAAAAAGCTCTTAACAGATGCTTTTATTCACTGTCATGGAAATCTCAATTCAATAGGAAGATGAAATTCCATGGACGGAACTTTTGAGAAACCTATTCCTCCTTATGAATCACAGCCTTCACTGCCTCTCAACTCCCTGTCTTGGGCAATACAAGGGACAATGTTGGATGAAGTAATATGGGATAAGTGTAACATGCTATGTCCTGACTTCAAAGACACAGTTTTCATGTAGACAAGGATGCTTAGCAGACTTACGAGATCTTGCATGACCAAATAATGTTCACGTAAAAGTATTTTAAAACCGAATTCAACGTAGTACTTATTTTCACATATAGCTAAGCCTTCAACAGCTAAGCCTTATATATCACACAGTATAGCAAAAGTCTGAAGAAATCTAGTGGGCTGAATTTAGCTCATGCAAGACATCAAGCTTAGGCATCTATTCCAAATGTTGGTTTAGTTCTTGTAGACTCATAATCAGCCTTTGAAAAGTACTTGTGTCATCTTATCCTAAGTGCATATTTTAAATTGCTAATTTATGTTTTCAGTACTGTTTTTATGGGACACAGCAGCTAAAATGACAGAGTTGAGACTATTTTACTAGGTCAGGGTAAATGAAAATTAAATCCCAATTTTTAATGAAATAACTGAGTTCATTTACCATATAGGGACCTAAGTATTGTCAGAACTACGATGAGGTGAAGTGGCTTAGCTTTTATATATACCAACACTAAAGATTTGCATATATTAGTAAGACTCGGTTCCTAGAGGTTTTGCATCTGTTTTAGTGGTGTTCGTTAGGGGATATTGTATGTATCAATCTTCCTTTCTTTTCAGCCTTACAGCATAAGCTTCAAGAATGTTCTTGAACCAGCTCCATGACAATTCATCAGTTATTTAAAGTCGTGATCATGCTGTACTTTGTCCTCCATGCTTTAGGAATAATATTGAGGGAATTTTCATTTATATACATATATTATTTTTATTGGTCTCTTCCAGATTTTGCAAGAAAGAGGTTCCAGGATGTGAAGATGGTATTGAATGCTGAAGATATATTCTCTCTTTTATTCCAAGAAGCAGTGAATTGTCACATTGAAGAGGCTTGGCTGCAAAAGAAAAAAAATCTGATTTAGACAATTTTCTGTTGATCTGGGTTCAACCATTTTTGCCTATAAGCTGGTGTAAACTGGCTGAAAGCATTGCAAGATTACTTAGTGGGAATAGATGGTGTGAGAGTGTGTGTTAAGTTTTGGTTGTAGTGCATGGTTGTACTCTTTTATGGGCTGACTGACATTGGTCATTTGAATAGAAGTGACCATGCACTCATATTTTTCTCTGAGACATGTAGCACTTAATGCCTGGTGCTGGATGACCCAATGTCGATCAGTTTGAAGAGTTTTTCTCACTAGTCATTGTAAACATTTAAAGGACAATGTAACTGGTGCTACACACACATACACACACACACACACATTACAGGCCACAAATGCAAATTTTGGGGCCTATGTTGTTTTGGAATCGGTGGCAGCCCCAGGTGACTCTTACACTGCACATTCCGTATGGCTCTGTGACATATTCTCTCATGTAACAACAGCAGAACAACCTAGGAGATCAACTGAAACTAGCACATAAAATGTTACACCACAGACAGAAGTGTTTCTTTCTCAAGGAAGGATGTATATATTGATTTATTGACTGGGTTTATGGCATATTTTAATACCCAAAGGGAAGAGGAAAGTCAGAGAAAATGTCCTTCATTTGAGTCATTCTTGATACTCCTCCTGTCAAAAGTGTTCTCCTGTAAAAGTTATGCTCCAGTCTTAGCCAGGTGTTTGGAAGGGGAATCAAAATTCGCTTTAAACGAACAACTGAGCATTTTGTTTCTTTTGAAATCTTCGTAGACGAGTGTGTGTTTATATTTTTAAGAATGGCTACAGGTGTTGATCTCACTATGGATTTTGGTAAAGATTACTAAGAGAACTGGAGATTGTGCAGAAATATGACTGGCTAGTCCTAGGTTCTTATCTCTGTGAGGGGGTTTAAGATCAACATTGAGTGTGAACACAAGATCATCCAATTAAAAATCGTAATTGCTTTGGATATTCAGGATACTTAAAATCAGTCCATCTTTCTATACTGTTTCAACTATGCAGTTAAAAAACACTGTTTGAAAACATCTGGTGCAGCTTTATTAGGTTATGTCCTTGATAAAGGCTAATACCCAGACTGGAGCTTTTTAATATACTATGTTTTAGGCAAAATCTTCAGCACATTTTGGAAATAATTAATAGGATAAAATTCAGCTTCATTAACATATGTAGCTGAAAGCAGAAGAAATGAGTCTCAAAAACATGAAAAACATGTAAGATTGTTTAGAATTCTAAAAAAAAAAAAAAACTTTCATTCTCAGTAAGTTTGGAATTTAAGCATATACTGTAGGTAATCCTTTACATACAAACCTGATTGTGAAGCACCTAGGGTCTGCCTGTTTTTTTTAAACTTATTGTATATTGATAAAAGTTGGGCAGAAATAATTTGTAAAAACATTTCTACAAAGCAGGTTAAGCAGTGGGCTAAATGTTTTTGTCCATGCATCTAGTGCTAGAAAGCATTAGTGCATTTTGCCACTTGGATGTGGTCTGCACAGGAAGCTGCTGGCCTTTCCACAATACATAAAATGTTTGTCTTTTTTTAAGATGTTAAAACTGAATTGAATTTACTAAAATGTAATTATGTAGGGGGAAAATGTTTATACTTTTATACTTTTTTAGGCACCCGTATTTTAGCTGCTTAAATTTAGCACTCAAATTTCCCCTAAAGAGTAACAGATAATCTTGTGTATTTGAAAATAAGCATAATGGTTGTCTATGTTAACTGCATATTAAAACATTTCTTCTGCTGCAGTAGTCGCTGCGTTTTTAAGCAGTATGACTCCATCATATTCTCTGGGCTCTCTAGCTCATCGATGTGCAGCCAACTAGGTTTCTTGTTCTTTCCTTGCTGTGCTCTACGGAGTAATTCAGCATTGGCCCGAGTGGACTTTAATGCCTAAAATAACTGTATAGTAATCCTCCTGAATCTCCGTTTTCGTCTTCTGTTTTCTTTAACACAAAAAGACAGAACATTTTAATTCATCAGCTGAAAGAATGAGAACAGCAAAGCATGAGTAACAAACTGAGCAAACTGAACAAATTTAGAGTAGGTAAAAGGATTTTGTTTTTTCTAAGAATGGCTTTTTTTCACTGGAGTATCATTAGTTCAACAACGTGCTTTTATGGTGGGATTACCTGAAATCTAGTTTATGCTGCATCCCTGCTGTAGCAAACTTGGGGGAAATAAAGGGTTAATTATTTTGCATTTTCTTTCCAATACCTCATCTCAAGAAGATCTTAAGAAGAAAACTAAACAAAGCAAAAAAAACCACCATCACCAAGAAAAAAATCCCACCTTAACAGGCAGGAGCTTGTAAATGATTTCATATGCTGTTGCATGAGACCTCCTGAACTAACTACTCTCCTATTGTCTTTTATTTAAAAAAAAAACAAAAACAAAACAAAAAAAAAACCACATCTGAATCTTTCTGATAGCTTGAAGTATTATCACATGCCTTTTTCAGGGCACTGGGTGTTGATCCTTAGAGAAATTTGTTTTTTCTTTATTTGCATCATGTAGTTTCTAATCAAATTACTTACACTAACAAGGTAGTTGCATTAGACTTGGATCTACATCAAGTTTTCAGAACAGTGCTTTTTTTGGTTAGCATTTTGCATGATGAGGAGTCCTATGTCTGTTTCTTTTCTATCATTTAGGGAATGTTTACCACAGGAGAACAGCATATAACTATGTAAAGCAAACGTTCATTAAGAGAGCATACTTGAAGAGCTCCACTGTGAAAGTCTTCGAGGCGAAGTGTGGACTCTGGATTTATACACTTTTTTCTATCCTTAAATCAAAACAGTATGCCAGGTTAAAAGTTAAGATCCCGAGCATGAAGAGATCACAGCAGGAGGAAATAAAGCAGAAAGGTGGGATACTACTCTACAGTTAATAGAAATGACATCTCATTAAAATATAAACTCTATAGAAAGTTTAACTTTATGCCCCTTTGCTATATAAATATTCTTCTGTCTGTGTTTGGTGAAGTTGTTAAATGTTGTTGATGGAACAAGAGGTTAATGATTATGGGATCATTATGATTAAGGGATTTTCAGTGGAAATCTTTATGGACTTTTACACAATTGTATTTTATAACTTTGTTTAAAAAATGAAAAATTCAAATTTACCATAGCAATTTCTTGCTTTAAGCTAGGAAACAGGTAGTACTGTTGGCTTAATTTAGTCAGAGGATAATTTTTGATATTGGAGATGATTGATTTGTGAATCAAATGCTTTTGGTTTTCTTCAAGCAGTGATTAAATGGAATTTTATCTGTTGTCCTGATGAACAGCTCATTCCGAGTCCTCTGGTCCATGATAACTGTCCAAAAATACAGCCTGACTCAGCCACTCACAGTAAATATGAAATAGCTCTTTTAGTGAAAGACACATGGTTATGTGGAATTTTATCCTGTCTGCTGTCAGGTTACCAAGGATTATGGCCAATGTTAACTTGCTATTCCACGGTAACTTAATCATGTGTCAAAGGCCTAATTGTGTTTGGAAGCATAAACTGATTTTCCACGGAACTTCTCAGTCCTCGGCATCATATGCTCCGTTTACTAGAGAAAAAGTACCATGTTTCTTCAAATCCAACCAGGCTTGTGGTAATGATAGAAGTTCCTTTCATCTTTCACCTTAGCTTTAATAAAAATACTCCTGAACAAATAAAGCTGAAGATAGCTGTACAGTGGGGTTTTTTTTTTTTCCCCCTCTGGTCTTCAGCTCTTGTTCAGATAATTGCAGCTGTAGCTCCATTTCCAGTAAAGTGCGTGCACAGTCATGATCAATTAGCAGTGGTCAAAACAAAATAAAACCTGATTACAGGCACGATAAGCGAACAGGTCTGTTCCATCCGGGTCCTACTGGATGACTGGTGTTTCCACAAAACCACCCTTCAGAACAGAGCACTGTGTTCCATGGACCTCTCTTGAGGCTGTTGAAAGTTGCCGGTCTCAAGCAGTGAAACATTGTAGGGAGCTACCACCAGAAAATTAAAATATGTTAATTACAATTTTTCTATTTTTATTGGTGTTAACGAAAATTAGTTTGGGCTGAAAAATATAATACTATCTCCCTGAATGAAATTATCTAGAAACTGTTATAATGTATATTGTCCACTCATTCAGGGTTACTGGAGCACATGTCTTGAGAAATACTAACAGAACAAAAAGTACTGGATTATTTGTGAAGATCAAAGTCAAGTGAAAAAGTGTGTAGAGCGGAACCTTGCGCTTTTTTTTTTTCACTTGAGATATGATAAAAATGGAAGTGTCATTCTCCAATCTTATTCTCATCAAAAATCTCTTTCAGGTTTTTCAAATTAGCCTCTTTAATCAGTCCTGAAAGTTGTGGCCCTTGAGGAGAGATGGGATTTTGGTTTTGCTCTCCACCCATTCAATAGTACCTGTCATAGCAGGATAGTTAGACTTCTGGAGGTCACTGGTGAAGTGTATTTTCTAACACAGCAATTTTGAAATACACAAGGTCTGAGGATGCGCCCTATTTGATTCATTCTGGTTTAGACTGCAGTTATTCCCTCCTTTAAGGATCTTACTTGGGTTTGTGTGTAGAACTACAGATTCTAAATGTACCATAAATATTCCATTAAAAAAAAAAGGAGAGAGACGAGGTTCTCTGTGAAATCAGTGTAATATATCCTTTCTTGTGGCTTGCAGCAATTAGGAGTTGTTTTTTTAAAGGCTTCTCACTGAACTGAGGCTTTAAAGGGCTAAATAGGTCACTTTATTATTGTTCAGTTTGCTTAAGTGACTGTCAAACAGAAAGAACTCTCCATTTGTGGGGCAGAAATACTAAGGGCTATAATGCTTTCCAGGGCTAATTTGAAGTTTCAGATACATAAGTTTTGAAAAGGAGACACTCCATTTTTCCTGTAACTCACACTAAAATTGTTTTTGAAATTGCTAAACCAATTGCAGATATGTGTATATAGGGACACAGTGAAAGAGAACGCACCTGCCCGTCCCTTTATTATTTCCAGTGTTGAAATCTAATGGTTTCTATGAACAGAACTGGCAGTAGATAGATTCTTAGGAAGATTCTATTCCGGGAAATAATCACTGAATATTCCTTTGCTATTTAACTTTACTTTCCTTTGGCAAAGTCTACCAAGGCATTCTACCAAAAAGGGTTCTGTTTAGGGTTTTCAGTGTTAATCACTACCATAATGAAGAATATATATATATACATATATATATATATATAAAAGAAAGCTATTTGGCTGCTGTGGAAGGGTGAAGGTTCTGAAACAGCATTCCCTTTCCCTCAGAAGAAGGGACCCAGTTTAACAGCTGATAAGATTTCCAAAGTCTGTTTGTTTGAAATGCATGAGTTGATGAATCTTTGTATTTCGTTCTTGCTCCTTTCCAAGATTTTCCAAAAGCTTATGTGCAACTTAACTTAACTTAGCCTTTGGCTTGCTAAGAGGAAGCAAGTGCCAAGACATTGTAAAACAAGTATTGCCCACCTCTGCTTGGAACTTAACTGAGATCACTGAACTGAGCAA